ATGCATGAAATTTGGGTGCTGATTCATGCAGCACCTGCTGAGTGTTTGAAGAGGGGACCGGATGAAAAATGTTTCAAATTCTTGACATCCGTTGTCAAATCGACAGGTGCTCCCTTGTGCTCCCCAATCAAGACATGTTTTAACGCGAGAAGAAAGCGCAGCCACAAATACCCAAAGCCGTTGGGTGAACGAGCGGTGAGAGGTAATAGCTTCTTGGTTCAGCCATGAAGGATTCAAAGTGCAAGTTCAGGGTCTACATCTGATATGACTTGAGCTATGCTAACCCCAGAACATGCATCCCCTTCAACCGGCGTAGTAATTTGGCCTAGCTTAACACAAGCCCCACCCTAATCGACTCCCGGCGAGCCGATTAAGATGAGGCTTGTGTTAAGCTAATTGTTTGGCGCGCTTGTTCCCCAGTTCACCTGATCACTTGATATGAATCCAACTCCTTTGATTTCATCAACAACAAACACTCATTACGTAAAGCGGGACAGACAGCACCATCAATTCTTTCCCCGAAGTCTATGTATAACCCTTTTTTCATAGATAGAGAAATGGTATGTAGAAAAGCGGGTGTTGAGCTGAAACTTGACACCGTCCTATGTATTATCAGCAACAACTGCGGTTGGATTTTCATTTTTTTTATGTTTATTTTTCAAACATGCCAGCTGCCAGCTCACAGTAGTTTCTTTGGCTGGTGATGCAATTTAGAACATTTGAAGCTAGGCCTGATCATTTACGCAAATGATGTTAACATTCAGCAAGATTCATCGGGAGCTATTTCGGTTTGCTAATCATGCCCCAAAGATGACCTTTTGATGGTTATTAAAGATTTGAACCATAATCCGTATTTCTAAGTATGCATTACTTCAGTTGCTACGTTCTTATTTTCTAACCTAGCCACAAGAAAGGAAAAATCGGTTCTTGAGTTGGTATTCCAAAATGCTAATTCTCTCCTCATTCTGCAGCATATCCAGAGCTCTGAGACTTTGCATACACAGTAATAATAACATACCCTCCCCCCCTGAGGCTGATCAAGAATACGTGCCTCCTGATCGAAGAATCATACATGCTTTCACAACACTATCGGTAGATCGTATATTTTGATCAGGAGAGGGAGAATGAAGGAGTAGAGTACAAGATTAAGACTTACAATAAGAGATTGGGATGCAAGAAAGGAGAATAAACCCGTTTAAGATTGTCTGTTGATAATTACAGTTTTATAAGTTTCACAATCATGTCCTGTTAGCTCCTAATATTTATGTCATCTCATGAGCCAATGAAGATCGCCTTAATTTCTCCTCCTCATCTATCCCCAATTGTCTTTTTAAAGCAATTTGCTATCTTTTGAAGACCAAAAAGATCAGAAATGCGTTGACAAGGGACGACTTAAAAACGTGAGCTAGTTTTTTTTAATGATCGGTCGTCCCAATATCCATCCAACAGAGTTACACCCATTCAACCTTTCCTCAGCCTAAGAGAGATCGAGATCCAATCATTATCCTTGCCCCAACCAACAATCACTTCTCACCCCCCCCCCTTTTTTTTTGAAGGGGGGGGGGGGTTGCTTTTTCTCTGCACTCTGCAGTCGATCAGTCAATTTACATCATGAGTTTAGGAGAGTACTTAATAAAAGAGTAACAATGAAAAGAAAAGAAAAGCTTAGTACTCTGGATTGGGGTACTGATTTTTATAATACAGTGAGTTGATTATTATAAGAGTGCATTTCCTATAATTCTTCACAGTTAAGATAACAGCCCCCCATGCATTTTGAAGTCTACGAGACACATGATTGATCGAAAATCGGGATAGATCCAGACATGATCACTCTTTTCAGCTCGTCTTATCGGCGGGCCAAGGAGACTGAGAGTATTGCTTGAGTTGGAGTTTCGGCTACCGCTTTGATTCAGCTCAGGAAGGAGCCCCGACTTGATTGGCAGCGAGTGAAGCCGAGAAGTGCTCGTTCGCTCTGCTCAAATCGGTGCCCCTCCCCAGCTGTTTCTCGACACCATCGCCGGACAAGAACTGGCCACAAGAACTGGCCACAAGAACTGGCCACAGTTCTTGGCCAGCTCTTGCCGGGTATTCAGAGGGGAACAGGCCATATCCCGATTCCCCACCGTAGTTTGCACACCCGATTTCTTGCAAATGTTTGTTTTAAATTAAGCTTAAACGTGTGTGCCCCAAGACCGTTGAGCAAAAAACGACCTACGTACGTAGATAGCAGCTTGGCCTAGTCTTTTTTGCCTGGGGGACTCCGGCCATTAACTCCGGGGCTTCCGGCGCCCACCCAACGTACCACGGTGCTCTCCTCAGTGCAATGCAAGGACCTTGGACGGTTGAATCCGCCCAGGCTGTTGACGTTGTTGTATGTTGATCGGATCGGAGAGCTAGTACTGTACATAGGATGTATGTATCCGATTAGATAATGTGTTTTGTTCACAAGGATGCCCAGCTCAAACAAACAATACGTGGTGTTTTTCTTGAACGACAGACTGAGACGGACATGATGACTTGTGAAGTTGATCATGGAAACAACTGAATGTCTTCCTTTGGTGTGAGCGAGTGAGCCGGGGTCGTTTCACCGCTTTTTTTAGTCAGAGGGAGCATGAGTGCGGAGACTGCTGATGTCAGCAAGCAGCACTCGATCACACTGACTAAGCAACTTCACCCAACTATAAGAGCCCTCAACTCACCACTGCCTCGGCCAGCCTCCCACTCGAGTACTTCCCTCTTGACCATCAACAACAACAACATTAAACCATCCACCCACTTCAATCAAGCTCCAATCTCAATCCCAACAAACTGACCTCTCCCCTCATCTGCCATCCATCTCCATCCAAGCACCTATCCTCACACTTTCACACTTTCAATCCTCGACTCGATCATCGACCTCTCAATCAGATTCACTCAGTCATCAAGAAACCAAAACAACCACCAGAAGAAGAAAAAACCCCAACCGTTTAAACCGGTAAGGAACATAATCTCTCACTCTTAACCATTTATCTTTCCAACTCTTCATTCGCATCCCATAGATAGATGTCTACCATAGATCATCGCCTTTTCCTCTCTTTCGATTCTCTCCAATCATTAATCTTGTCCAATTGTAATCACCACTATGATGTCCAAACTATACCCTCTGCCGACTAACCCAGCTCAAGCGCTCTTCGAGTCTCCTCCTCTTCTTACAATCGCAATCGGATCCATCTTTAGTGGTCTGGCCTACTGGGCTTCAAAACTTGCTACTGATGGGGACCCTTCACTTCACGAAGATCCCTCATTTTCTCATTTGGTCTCTCTCAAAGGTCCCTCCCCTATTACCACCATATTATGTCGTCTCTGTATTTTTTTCCTCGGAAATCGAAGGATTCAATACTAACTTAATATGATTTCTTTTTTACAAAAAAATAAAATAAAATAAAAATGGAAAAAAACAGGTGTCGAAATGGCTATGCAACCAGCTTCGGTCGAAATAGGAGATGAGAATCCCCAGGGCGAAACGAGGATTCGACGGTCGTTCATTTCACCTGACAAACTAGTCACCGAGCCGATCCCTGGGATCCATGTTCTTCCGGACCTTCTAGTCCAATCGGCCAAAGATTTTCCTACAGCCAATGCTGTTGGCTGGCGAGAGTTAATCAAACTTCACAAGGAGACGAAGACGGTAACCAAGGTGATCGGCGGGAAAGAAGTCAAGGAGGATAAGATTTGGGAGTTTTATGAAATGAGCGATTATAAGTATTGGACTTATAGTCAACTACTTGAAGAAGTCTCGAAAATCTCAAACGGGCTCGCTGAACTCGGTCTGACAAAAGATCAACGGTTCAACATCTATTCCGCTACCAAACCTTCATGGCAGGTTATGGCTCATGGTAAAAAAAATCATTGCACACTTTTATTTTCAGATATATGGCTAACATCCTTTTGTTTTTGTTGTTGTTAGCCTGTTCTCGAAGATCGATTACTTTTGCAACCGCCTATGATTCATTGGGAGTCACCGGACTAGAGCACTCAGTCAACGAACCCGAGGTAGTAGGAATCTTCACGAATGCGAACTTGCTAGGAACCTTAGCGGCGATTGTGGACAAGACGCCGACATTGAAATATGTGATTTATGATGAACAAGCCGATGAGAGAGTCCTCAAGAAGATTCAAGACACTCGATCTGATATCCGGATCATCACTTACGATGAGCTTCGTCAATTGGGAGAAACTAAGGCCCATGAGATCGTCAGACCAGAACCTAGTGACATTGCTTGTATCATGTACACCAGTGGATCTACCGGCGCTCCCAAAGGAGTCCTCCTCAGTCACCTCAATCTAATTTCTTCCGGTAAGCGTGCCTTTTACTTCTTCGTCTTTTGTATTGAGCCGATTACTCATCGGTTTTGCACTCAAATCATGTAGTGGCTGGAGTTCGGACTTTGCTACAAGATTTTATGAGCGAGGATGAATCCGTAATCGCATATCTTCCTTTGGCTGTAAGTTGCAGTATATCCACGCAATTCATCGTACTTTCCGATTCCATGCTGATAGTCTCATGCTTTCCCGTCTTTTGCTTGACTGAAAACAGCACATTTTGGAATTTATTGTCGAGCTAACTTCTCTGTCGATGGGCGTCAAAATCGGTTACGGATCTGTCAAAACACTGACCGAGGCATCGATGCGGAATTGTTCGGGCGACATCAAAACCTTCAGACCGTCTGTGATGGTTGGAGTTCCGGCAGTTTGGGAACTGATCCGGAAGGGGATCCTAGCCAAAGTCAAAGCGGGAGGCAAAGTGAAACAAAGCATCTTCAATGCTGCATTGGCAGTCAAGAGAAATCCGATCCTGAGTCGAATCGGAGGAGGACTGATGGACACGGTGGTCTTCAACCAAGTTCGTGAACAGACCGGCGGCAACTTACGATATGCAATCTCGGGCGGAGCTGCACTATCCAAAGAGACCCAGGAATTCTTGTCGAAAGCGCTGGTCTCAGTCTTACAAGGATACGGTCTAACGGAATCCTGTGGGATGTGTGCGATCTTGTCCCCTAATTACATGCAATACGAATGTGTGGGTGTCCCAGTACCCAGCACAGAAATCAAATTGGTCGATGCTCCCGAAACCGGTTACCTGTCTACTAACGTTCCAAATCCTCAGGGTGAGGTTTGGATTCGAGGCCCCTCGGTCTCTAAAGGTTACTTCAAGAGGGAAGATATCACTAAGGAGAGTATGACCGACGATGGCTGGTTTAAGACTGGTGATATTGCTCAATGGAACCAGGATGGAAGTACGTCAAGGCTTTCTTTTTCAACGGCTTACTCTTTCTTAAACGATTAGAAACTCACCCCGATTTTTGATTATTTTCATTATTAAAAGCTTTATCGATAATTGACCGCAAGAAAAACTTAGTCAAACTAGCAGGAGGAGAATACATAGCGCTAGAGAAGCTAGAATCGATTTACAAGTCGTGTTCATTAGTCGGTAACCTATGTGTTCATGCCGATGCGACTGCCAATCGACCGATGGCGATCGTCTTTGTTCATGAGAAGAACCTCAGTCTCGCCTATGAGGAATTGAAGCTCGGCGAGAGTGGCAAAAGTATCAGTGAGATGTGTCTGAATGAAGAGGTTGAAAAATTGGTCTTGAAAGAACTCTTGGCTACCGGTAAAAAGGCTGGCTTCAAACCTCTCGAAGTATGTTGCCTTTGTGTTTTTCATCGTACATTCACGTTGAGCCTGACTTTCTGTTTTTTGTTCGGGACAGTTATTGCAATCTGTTGTTTTGACAGATGAAGAATGGACTCCTGAGAATGGCTTGGTGACTGCCGCTCAGAAACTGAACCGCAAGAAGATCTTGGATCATTATGCTGAAGCTGTCAAAGTAAGTTAATCCAACTTCTCCCTCTCTTCCTCCACTCTCTTGCTTTAGTGTTTCAAATTAACACGTACTGATGAGGTGTGTCTCCCCTTCTTTGTTATCACTTTTACAGAAAGTTTATCCTTAAAAAACATCTGCATCTCAAGTCGTCCATGTCGTCGAGCAAGTCACTACACACAATCAAGGTGTTTTTTCTTTTCTTTTCCTTTTGCTTGGCCCATCAAAAGCTTGATACATAGAATAAGAAGAATAAGAAAGATTAATCAGCAGATATACATGTCGATCTATATTTAGACTCTGCCTTATCTTTTGTCTTACTTTTTGTCACCAATCAACAAGAAAAATACAAGTAACAGGTAGTCTCTGTCCTCTCCTCCCCCTTCTTTCTAATAATGAGGAGGATTCCTTTTTTGATTACTACTTTGTCTATTATATCGTTGGTTTTGATTGTATGTATTGTAAGCATATGATATATATATATGACACATATGTGTATAGATATAGATATCTTGTCTCTGACTTTTCATTGTTCTTTCCCTCTATCCTTTATCCTTTTTCTTTTCATTTTTATTTCTTTTTTTGATCCTCATTATTTTACTTGACCTATTTCTTTCTCTCTCTTTATGTAATTTTAATGTGTTTTTTTTTCAATGTTCTCAACCTTTTTTCTTTTCTTTTGTTATGTCCTCATATATACATGTATATATGTGTGTGCATAAAATATAGGGGGTTGGAAAAACGACTCCCAAAAATTAGTCGACGACTCCCGTTTTGGTCGGGAGGTCGTCGAACGGGAGTCGTCCTTCCAATTCTTGAAAAAACATAGGGAGTCGTCGTACTAATTTTACCTGGAGATTTTTTATTTTTTTTCTTAAAAAATTGGGAGTCGTCTGACTAAAATGCGGGAGTCGCCGCACTAATTCTGCCTAATTTTTCGCATTTTTTTATATTTAAATCAAAGGGAGTCGTCAGACTAAAGTGCGGGAGTCGTCCCACCAATTCCGCCTAAAATTTCAAATTTTATATATAATTAAATTCAAGGGAGTCGTCCACCTAATACGAGGGAGTTGCCCCACCAATTCCGCGCAATGTTTTCCCTTTTTTTCTATGTTAAAAGAATATGGGAGTCGTCCAACTATAAATGGGAGTCGTCGCCATATGGCACCCTCAGAGACTTCAAAAAAAGGTTGAGCCACTGAGGCCCCACCCCAAAGGCAAGATACACAAATTAGAATGATAAAACAAATTAGAATCATTGAGAAAATCCATTGCAAGAGATAAAAGAGATGACA